ATTATTATAAATTATTCGTTCATGTATATTCGAATCTTGCAATAATCAATACCATGGGTCCTTTATCTCCGAGCTCTCCCTTTCTTCCGCGATCCCCATAATCTCCTCTGACACCTTTTCTCCCAGGTGGTCCAGGTACAGGTTCAGATGCATTATTTTTCTTCCACTCTTTATTAATCGGTCCCGGCTCTCCTCGATCTCCCGGTTCACCAGGTTGTCCCTTGTCCCCGTAAACCGTATCACCTTGATCGCCAGTCAGTCCAGGCAGACCTGGCTCACCTCGATAGCCCTGAATATTCGTCACACATCATCATGTATAATCTTTCGAGATAAGGTTTGGGCTGATGACGCAAAGGGCGAATTCTAGGTGTCGAAGGAAATGCAACCGTAGATGGTATCGGAGTCTTCCATGACACACGAGATTACCTCAGCGGAATTCATTATTCCTATCTCTTTTTTCATCGTGACGACAATATCTCCGATTTCATCTAGACCGAAATACCATGTTCACCATATGTGGACAACATTTTTATAGGATCTCTCGAGAAGATTTTTCTGTGCCGAATTTGAATTTTGGAAAAGCTTTCACGTAAAATGATTTATTCTTAAACGCAATTCGGAAACGAATTGATTCTTTTTCAAAGCCATTATATTCATAATTGTTTTCCGTCGCAAATATCGTCTAAGTTCCTGAATTTCTCGGGATCGTCAATTAAAAAAATCTCAGCGAGATTATCTGTAGAAGAAAATGAAAATTGTCGAATATCTTGTGTTGCACGCACGTGTGCATCCTATCATATCCATCAATCACCATAAAATAATGGGGAAGTAATTGCTGCAAACGTTAACCGAAAACTTACAAGACTAATAAATTTCATCGCAGCGTTATTTCTTTCATTATTTCTCGTGCGGGTTCTCTGCAGTGGCTATTAAAGCCCTCAGAGAAATTCTCAAACAATATTTCATGTAAGCAGCTGGTGGTGTTACCGCCAGGTAAAAAAAAAGCGTGTATATATAAAAGTGAAATAAAGGCGTAACAAAATGCAAGAGGTAATGTATACCGAACATATAATACTGGTGTATCGCGAATCTGCAGCTTCGTGTGCAGGAGTGCGTGGGCAGCAACCTAAATTCTCGCGAGATTCACTCAACGTTAGTTTAACATCGCTCCGGAACGTGCCATGATATTATGTACCCAAGGAGGGAGTGATAATGACGATTATAGGATTTTTCACCAATTTCTGAATGGGAATATTCTTATCG